TCGTGGCCATTTTGCGCATGGCAGGTGGAGGAAAGAACTGAATAATATCCCGCCATTTTGCGCATGGCAGGTGGAGGAAAGAACTGAATAATAATATCCCGCCATCTCGTGGCCATTTTGCGCATGGCAGGTGAAGGAAAGAACAATAATAGCCCGCCATCTCGTGGCCATTTTGCGTCATTGCAGGCGGAGGGAAGGAATCGCAACGGTTAATAGAAATATGCATAATCGCCCACTCAGCCACATGACCACCAGGCAACGTCCACCCCGTCACATGGCCACCAAGCCATGCCCGCACTGGCACGTGACCACCAGGCCGCGCCCTCCCCGCGAGGTGGCCGCCAAGCCACGCCCACCCGCACGTGACCCCCGGCCGCGCCCATCCCGTCACATGGCCGCAAAGCCACGCACTCCCGGGCACGTGACTCCGCAAGCCACATGCGCCTTGCGCAGGCGTGCCCGGCCTTCGGCGCAGGTGCTGGGCGGTGGCGGTTGGAGAGGCGTCTTCGCGGCTTGTGAGCGGCCTCTTGCTGCCTTCCGCGACGGCCACGAGGACGGTGGAACTCGGGCAGAGCCTGGAGGGTTTCCCGGGCCCGGTTCCGGTAAGGGAGGCCTCCTTCGTCCCGTCCCCTCCCTCTGTTGGCCAACCGGAGCCGCTTCGGAGTGGCGCCCGGGAAAAAAACGGCGCTCGCTCGCCTGCGTCGTTTGGGGTTTGGGGCTGGGTGGGGTTTCTTGGGGGGGGGGGGGAGAGAGGGGGCGGCACAGGGGGGGGGCGGGGGGGGGTTGCAGGAGCTCCCATGCTAGGTGGACGGTGGTGTGTGTGTGTGGCGTCATTTCTCCTTGCAGGCCTTGTCCAAGGGATGGTGGTTTGTCTTTTGCCGTTTATGGACCATTTGGCCTGTTGGAAAGTAGATTTAAATGTATTGTGTGCGCGAAAAGCTTTGCAAACTTGGAAATGGGCTGTTTTATGAGCAGTCCTTATGGAAACATGGCCTGGGAAGGGAGTGTATCTATTTTAAAGTAGAAGTAATGTCATATAGCAAGTCCTTGACTTATGACAACAGTTGAGCCCGAAAATATCTGTTGCTTAAGCGAGAGACGCATATAAAGTTAATTTTGCCCCATTTTATGACCGACCTTGCCACATTTGTAAGTGAATCACTGCAGTTTGTAAGTTCATTAAGTGAATCTGGCTTCCTTGTCAACCTTGTCCGAAGGCCACCAAAGGGGATGACATAACCCCGGGGACTCTGCAACCGTCATAAATACGAGTCGGTTGCCGAGCATCTGAATTCTGGTCAGGGGACCATGGACCTGTTGCAATGGACAGAAGTGTGAAAAATGGCCTTACTTTTTCCACTGCCATGGGGAACTGTAAACGGCCACTAAACGAAGCATGGTAACTCCAGGACTACCTGTAATGATTTGCTTCCTGGGTGCCTGGTGTCTGAGAAAAGGTTTTGGAGCTGAGATGCTATGGAAGCATCCCTGGAGGGTGAAACTGCCAGCAGCCTGTAAAATACTCAACCTCCTTTTTGAATTTAAAAAAAATAAAAACACCAGCCTTTCATACTCTGTTCCATTCTTGATTTCTGGTTTCTCTGCATATTATTTGCACTTCTTTGGGCAGATTGGTACTTGGAAAAAAGCCCTCCCTGCAATGGTTGAATTTTATTTGGAAATTTATTTGCAGGGCTTTGTGTGTGTTTTTTTGGTCCTCCCCAAAATGGGCTCAACCGAAGCCCAAATAAAAATGTTTACAATGAAGAATTGATTTTTTTAAAAAATTGGACAAAAATCAAGTTTTTTCTTTAACTGTCCTGGGTGCCTGATTTACCCTTCGCTTCCTAAAGCATAACTTTGAAGGAAAATGAGCTTGGGGGGGGGGGCATTTAATTTAACTCTTTGGTAGAGTCGGAAATGGTTTGGACCCTTTCTTGTTCTCTCAGTTGGTTCTGCAGTTTTGGCAGAAAGCTGCCCCTCCTTCACCAGGTTCCTCACTTTGGAATCTGGCCCTTATTTCCTCCTATCTTTTCACTGGGTTGGAAATTGATTGCGGACCTGATGCCAGGGGACTGATTTGAGCTCAGGAATAACATGGTTTGCTTTGGGGATGTTGCTGGAGAAAATCAGGGGTTTGAAGGGATGCCTCTCTCCCTCCCTCTTCCATGACCAACCTTCTCTCCATTTTTTCTTCCTCCCTGAAGTAGTCATTGCAATAGATAACTTTATGTACTACACCGAGGTCAGAACAAAGGCAGCGTAGTTCTAGATTGTCTATGCCTAAAATTTCAGGTCTGGTGGCATAAGTTATTCTGTTGCAAATACAGGAGTGGAGGACTCTTCTCGTGAAATATCTCTGGACTCTTGACTATTAATATCCGATGTGTAGTGCAGGTTCCAGACTGATGAGGTGTATTCGAGAATTGGTCTAGCAAATGTTTTCTATGCTTTAGTTAGTAGTGCAATATTACTGGAGAAAAAGCTACGTAGGATTAGGTTAACAACTCTCAATGCCCTTTTGGCTTTGTGGTTACAGTGGGCTCTGGCACTTAGATGATTACAGATGAGTACTCCAAGGTCCTTGACATAGTGGGAGTCATCAACAAGGTCTTGACTATTCAGCTTGCATTTTATTTTGTGATTTTTGTTTACCAATATGTAAGACAGAGCATTTGTTTGCTGAGATTTGAAGTTGCCACTTGTTTGCCCATTCTGGCATAGTCAAGGTCTGCACAGGATGGGTGCATATGTATGTTTCTCCTTCATTCTGGTGCTCCTCAGCCATTCCCAAGACCCTTTGGGTTCTCCCCTGCTCCTTCTCTCTCTCTTTCCCCCTCTCTGGGGTGGGCAGGTTGATAAACCCCCATAGTTCTAGGTCACCCCCTTAGATTTCTAGACCATCATGAGAAGATCTGCAGGTCCAGCTCTTTGGGGCAGATGGGAAGGTGGAAAACTTGATTTGACAAAGTGGGTCTCCCACAGAAGAATGCAGAGGCAGACCAGAGGGTTTGTGGGGAGGGTCCCAACCCCAAAAGGACCCCCCCTTCCATGTGCTCAAGAAGTAATACCCTAGCCCATTTTAAGAGGGAAGAGCATGCATCTAAATTCAACTCCATAGATTGCAACAGCTCATTCAGAAACGTTTGGAGAGGAGCCCAATTCCCCCCCTTATTTCTAGGATGTGAGTTTTGGAGGCCTTTACAGAGTTGTTGT